ATAACGAAAACGATCCTACGCCTTGACTTAATAGCCAAGTCCTTTAGTTTAACTGTTTAAGTTAAAAATTATTTTTTGTGAGTTATGATTTCAAACATTATAAATCTTATTTTTTATTTTGTTAATTATTTTATTAAAAAAAAAAAGAGAACTACACCTGTTGCTTATGATTGGAAGTTATTTAACAACATAATAATAAATAAATAAATAAGTAAGCTAAGTTCTCTTTTTCATTTCATTTGGTAACTCCATTGAAAGTGAAGGATTGTAATTCATGGGGACTGCCTCTTGGGCAGAAGTAACTGATCTGTTGTGGGATTACTTGATTTAGTTTTGGACTTGTGGTCATCAAGGTAGTGCTGGTAAACATATGAAACAAAGCCCCACATAGCCAACACCATGGACATCACCTTCACTCCATTCATTTTGTCGTTGAAAAAGACCACGGCCAGGACAGGCACTACCGGCAATCCAAGAGTACTAATGACATTGGAGAAGAGTGCAGAAACCTCAAAAATCAACCCCACGGAACCAATGGAAAAAACTTGCCAACATATTGCAGTCCAAATCAAGGTCATGAGATAGGAGACTCTTCCTAACTTGAACTCTTCCATCTCCCCTTTCAAACTTTTCCACTCTCCACTAGCGAAGAGCCCCACCAAGACAAAACAAGTTGCAGCAATTGATGGGTATATTATCATGTCCAGGATTGCCTTGTGTGTTACCCTTTTCAAGACTTTTTGGAAGACGAATTGTATTAGGGAAAGCAATAAGCCATACCCTGCAGAAGCAACAACGGTGCATATGAACCCAATTGCATACTTTCCTTTAGAGACATCATTTGAGTTTGAAGAGTCGTTTTGGAATACAAGGAGGATGGAGGAGATTGTGAGGAGGACAAGAGAATTGATTATAAAAGGAGTGAACTTCTGTGAATTAAGGAAGAAGGAGAAGAAAGCATTGAAGGCTAATTGTGAGGCGCATATGAGGGAGTAAGTAGAGACTGGAAGATTTAAAAGACCAAGTGAATACAAAAAGCAGTCCACAGCTATAATCACCCCAAGCGAGACATAGGTCACCACAAGGACTAAAACAGACGGTGAATTCTCATTCCTACTGTTCTCCTCAGGACCTTTTCCTCGCCAAAGGAAGTACAACGGAACGAGAACTGGGACGCCACAAGGTTGGACAAGTGTTGCCATCCATTTGCTGTTTCCTCCTTTGTCAAAGTAGAGTCTTCCTAGCAGTATAGCCGCAGACTGGCCAACAAGGAGAAAAAGTGCGAAGATGGCCATCAGGAGCCACCACTTGTAAGTTTTGTGTTGAGTGATTATTGATTGATTGCTACAATTTGTATTCTCATCATGAAGTGCGTTTCCTTCCCTGGCTTCCTTTCCTGCCAAAGAAACCACGTAATGGATTGGTGGTGTTACAGTTGGTGCCTCAAGCAGTAAGGAATAAAAGAAAATTGGATATCCATGATTGCCTCAATAATCTTTTCTAGGACTTAGGACATGTAGAAAGGTGACTTACCCATGATCTCCAGTTGAACTTCTTGAGCTTCTCCCATGGCGAAAGCTTTCATGAAATACCAAAAGTAACAAACGTGGGGTGTGAAAAAAAGTGCAGGCTCACAAGCACAAACTTCTGTTGACTGCTGCTTAAATTAGAATTCAGCACCCAATTCCTACCGGTAATGCTACTATCAACATGATGTCAAAATGTTAATAATTTAGTATTTAGTTTTGTCATTTTGTTGTGATTATTCGAAGCTAACGCGCATAAAGTATCGACCAAGTGCAGAAACATCTACTTGGGATGACCCACCTGCTTGGTGCTTGGTGCTTGGTGCTTTGCGCTTGCCTAGCCATAAAAAAACGCTCTATCTGTACTAGTAATTACCAAGAAATCTGTCTATTCAGCCGCCCTAATTCTTTCTAAAGATCCCAAAATAGTTACATTCCGTCAACAAAAAGATAAAGTCCAACTAGGTAATTTATTCAAATCATTCCCCAACAGGTCGTCTACATATTAAACAAGATGTTGGTTTTTCATTTTTTATTTTTTTATTTATGCTTTAGGAACAGATGGTAGGAGGTTATTTATTATATTTTTTAGTAATTAATTTTAATTTTATCAACAATATAATTAAAATCATCAACATAACTTTAGTTTTGAAAATAATTTTAATTTTTATATTTTTTAATGATATTAATTATTAGAAGATATAATAAACACATCTTTGTGTTGGGTATAGATTAAGACAAAAATATTCCTTTGAATGATCAAAGATTAAAAGACATCAAGAAAGGTCATTAAAATGGTTCGCGTAATTAGTCATGCTGGTCATTGTGAACTGAATGAGAATGTGTTCTAGGTACTTTATTATTTCATTATTTTATTTATCAAGATTTAATTCTCTGCGTTATCTTCCATAAGATATATGGTATTTTTTTGCACTTGAGTCTTCGAATTCAATAGTATTAGATAACATATAAATGCATTTTTTTTTTTAAGGATAACTATTTGAATTCAACCTTTAACAAATTTATTAAAAATATATATATATGGTATTTTTTCAAAAAACAAATGGTAATTACATTATTAATATATATATATATATAAAAGAGAAACAGGAGATGCACAGGTTTGGACCTTTCTTCAAGAGTGCCATCACTTTTTTTTTTTGAAAATAGGTAATGGAAGAGCGCCACCACTTTATTTCTTAAAAATTAAAATGCTGTGTGGCAACTGAGGCCACACGTATGATTGACAAGCTTGTGGTAATAATGCAGACTTCGTCAGTGGCATGCAGCTAATGACAAATCATCCTCGGTTACTAATTTATGAATTTTCTGGAATGAAATTCCATTTCAATCAAATCAGATATAATATTAGACCAATCAATTGGAAAGTCACTTGAACCAAGTGGTTCCTCTCCAAGTACTCATCTCTATTGAGTTAAATTTAATAAATAATATATTAATTATGTAATTTATTTTAATTTATTTTAAAAATATTTTTTAAATAATTTATAAATTATCAATTTTATTTTAAAATGATTTATTTGTTATCTTGTCAAACATTTTGTTAACTAAACTAACAAAAAATTTTTTTTGTTAACATATGCCCTTAAAATTTTGAAAAATATTAAATAT